CCATACTGCTCAGTGAGACGGATACGGTTCACCCGGGCGCGAAATGAAACAAGTGAATAACGAATGGAGCCGCGCTGTCCCCGCGGCGCGGTGGTTGTCTCTGCCCGGCCGAGGGGAGGACGTGCGGGAGGTGAGGGGGTGGGGATCGGAGGGGGTGGGGGGTCAAATTAAGCGGCTCTGATGAATCGCTTTCGGTCAAACTGTTTGTTCAGCAGGTCGCCCGGGTTGTGTCACGAGACGACATCCATCTCCCGACGGCAAACGGCTCGTCGTCGAGGAAAGTCATCGCTCTTCTCAGCGCCGCGCGGCGCCGCTGCCGCAGCGGCAGCAAATATAAGATCACCCCGTAAAGAAAAAAACGGCTACTCCTGAGATACAAATAATTTAAAATTGGGAAAAGACACTGAAAAAAGTAAACCACATAAAACTGAATTTGGGTGGGGGTAGAGCAGATTGGGCGGGAGAATCGACCGCATCTGCCAGCTGGCATAAGGAATAAGTCCTCGACCCCCCCCCCCCTCCCCGCTCGCCAAAGAATATGATTTCGCTACACCGACCGATAAATTTGGCGGCGCAGCGGCGTTGCACGGGGCGCGCGGACCGGTGGCGCCGCGCCGCCGTCAAGGCGTCAGGTCGATACGATCGTATTCCGATATCTTCATCAGGCGGGGCGTGGCGGGGCGTGGCGGGGCAGGCGCGCCCGACCGGAAGAGGCATGGATATCGCCCGATATGGCTTCTTCCCAAAAGCGCTAACGTCGCCCCGGGTATCCGGCCGGGGTGGTACATGGTACCGTCGCACCCTCATGCCTGCCCTGAAGCCACTCAATTTCTTTTTATCAACGCGACGAAAGCTTAATCGAAACTCACCGAGCAAACTGCTCCCCTAAAAGAACAAAAAACTCAAATATGAGTGTCTGAGATTCAAACGGAGGTCCGAAACTCGAGGGACAAGACTTATTCGCAGAGTAGCAGGCTCACCGCTGCAGCTGAAACCCCATCCGACCCACGGTAAGTGTGATGATATGGGCTGCGATCTCACCTGCAACAGACAAAAACAGGGCATCAGCACATGAAGTGGGGCCGAGCACGAGTAGAGCACAGCAAAGCGTAACGTGAAGATTCGTCAACAAAACAACAAAATCACTGTTAAGTATTGCTGCTAAATAGCCGCGTCGGGAAGATATCTCGAGTAAAATGTGCTCGGAAAGATATTTGGGAAGTTTTGTGACTTTTCTGTATAATGCGGGCAGATCTTAGTGCCATATCACTCGCGAGTGAAAATCAATTTGCGCCAACAGGTATGGCCCCGGCGCGCTACGCCGCGCCACGCCCGCGTGTGAGAGACTATGAAGCCATCACGCGCGGTGATCACGATCGCGAGCACGCCAAACGAGGCGTGGCGGGGCGGGGGTGAGGGACGGCGCGGCCCTCCTATCGACATCGCTCATCACGCCACGGCTCTCCTTCTCCCTGCACGCGCAGCAACAGCACGACGCAGCGCGGCGGGTATTTTAAAATAAATACTTCTTCGGCTCTCGCCGCCCTGCTCATTCCGTTGACAATTTATAGGAGCGGGCGCGCGCGCGGGCGGCTCTGCACGACTCCTGCCTCCCCCCTCTGCCGCTTCCCCACTCCCACCTCTCTCCCCAACTCCTCGCATCGTTGTCTCTCTACCTTTCTGTTTTCTTCCCGCGCCGACGCCGACGCCCCAGAATGTGTCGAAGGCGTCCCTCTCTGACACGGCCGAACAGCTGACGGTGGTGACAACAGCCGCAAGAGGACCGTATAGGCGGGATAGGGAGAAAGAGAGAGAGGGAGACAGGAGGAGGGCGTCTAAGCGTCGTCTGAACACTGGCAGGGCGTGAAGGCCCTTCCCACACCTCATTCTCTCCCGAATCCCTTCCCCTATCCCCCCCACAAACGACTCGACGACACATCACCCCCCCCCCTCCCTTTCCGCCAAACACACACACACACCAACACGCACCTCAATGAGAAGGGCACACGTACAGAACTAACAAACAGCAGCAGTCCAGCAACAGAACCGCCATGACGCCAAAGTCCATACAAGCGACGAGGAGCACTTCGCTGCTTTATCCCGCTCTCTTTCCTTCAGCCTCAACTACCGCAAGGTTCTGCCGCACGCGTCGTGCGCGACCCCGTCTCCACCCCGCACCGCGACGCGCCAGCAGCAGCCCGGCGACGACTGACGGCCGCGGGCACGGCCTGCTTCGCCAAGGAGGAATATAGCAGCAAGTCAACACCTCCTCAACCTCCTCTTGGCGACACACACACACACACACACACACACATCCCTCCCTCCCTTACCTGGCCGCGCAGGCACACCCTCCCTGCCCGCTCAATGGCCGACCATCCCGCCAGGCAGGTGATGTTGAGGAGCTCCGTCAGGATGACTTGGCAACGCCGCCGCTTGCGCGACCCAATTCGACCGATTCAAACGCACGTACACACGAAACTCAGAGTTGTATGGGTGTCGCACATTTGTAGATGTGACCATTTGCACACGCACACACGTATACGTCTACAGACGAAGAGACCTAAGTCCTCACACAGACTGTATCATTACAGAGAACGTTCTCATCGCAATTGTTTCTTGTGTCAAGTGCATGCTGCCACAATGTTTAAATTCAATCTTGATTCAAGGCATTAGTTATTGTATTAATAATGAAATAAGATTTTTCTCTTATTTGAAGGTAACATCAGCTTTTTACGAAGGTGCATGAAACTAGGAACAGTTTATCTAGATTTACCCATACTCGTACATGTGTGAGATATTTAAAGACACATTGGTGTGTGTCGCAGCTGGGTGGGGCAAAAGTAAGACGACGATAAGCTCGTAAAACCAACGGGGCGACAAATAGTGCACAAGTATCGTAGCGATTGCTCAGGCAATTACGTCACACTTTGCCGCAATCTGTGCAGCAGCAGCAGCAGCACCGACGCTCAGGGGGATGAGCAATATTAGCAGCAGCAGCAGCAGCGGCGGCAGCAGCGTCATGTAGCAGTAGCACCTGAGACAAATGCTGGCGGTGGGGAAACAGCGATAAAGCACGGGCACAGCCCCACCGCCACCCCTGCAGGGCTCGGCGGCAGCAGCGGGAGCGCGCCCCCCCGGCGAGCGGGCTGGGCGGCCGGGGTTGATAAACCTCCTGGCACATGCGCCCGCCCCCGCCCCACCCCGCCGCCGCGCTCAGCCCGTGGCGGTGTATATAGGCCGTATCACACGCCGCCCCTATATCAGCAGTAAAGGTAAGGGGAAGCCCTCCACGTCATGATAATGATTATTATACTGCGTAGGTGTTGTTTGTTTGAAAATTTTTATTATTGTTTTTATTATTTTTATTTCTATGATTATGATTGTGATTATGATAATTATGATTATGATTATTATTGCCCCCTTTCCTAAACTATGAACTTTCCCTGAGGTATATTTTTTCTTGTTCACTCCATTTTAGCCGTATAAAGAGCCGGCCAGCTGTTGTCTCCACCAGCCCCTCCACCACGATCCCCGCGTAAGACAAAACCACCGACAAGAGGAGGAAATTCTTTTCCACAGTCATTCAAGAAGATGCCGCCGACGGATGCTACCGGCCCCACGCGGCCGCTGCCGCTCCCACCAACGACAGCCACCCGCCCACCTCCCTCCTCCTTTACAGCGGACGTCCTTCAGCCGTTTTAATTTTAATATTTTTTAAAAAACGTGTTTGCGGCTGGAATCCTTGCTGTCGGCGGCCTAACTAACAAGCTGTTCGGGCTCGGCCCTTTTTTGGGCCGGTACATCAATAATACACTGCGCCCGTCCAACCGTCCATCCGTCCGACTGGCTGGTTGTCTGTGCGTCCGTCCGTCCGTCCCGGTCCGGCCGCCTGTGTGCATCCCTATGCATTCAACGAGTTCGAAGTGAACTTTAGCACGAAACACAAATAAAAACATACGAAAATAAAGATGTGAAACAAAAATGCACACTACCACCGCATTCGCATCGAAACATCTGCAAGAAAATGTTGAAAGAATAAAAATAAAAATATGATGAATACTGCGGACAACGCGGGAAGCATGTTTTATGTGTGAGTTATCGTCTTCATTTGTGGGACGTGTGTGTTGGTTATGCATGACATGACGCGATTCGGTACGCACATGTCTGCTCTTTGGAATGAATGCGTCTCAGCCTGGGGCGGTACGTAATATCAACACACATCGGCGACGTGAAATTCCTCAAGGAGCAAGAGAGAGAGAGAGAGAGAGAGAGAGAGAGAGAGAGAGAGAGAGAGAGAGAGACCACGCATTGCTCGCATTCAGGAGAGACAGCCGTCGGACGCTTTCTCGTCAATTATTTTGTGACGTCCCTTAATTAATTTGTCCGACTGCTCGGCTCCGTTTCGCAGAAGACGGAGGACGGAGGACTTTTTTGATGCATATAATATTTTTCCCAATCCATTCAGGAGCTTGAGGCATATTTCCAACACATGTTTCAGTAGTTTAGTAATTGACCCGATCAGGTTCATGGTTCACGATACGGTTTTATCTTGCAGCCCTAGAAAGCGGTAAGTCGCCTTTCTACCATGAGGATCAATGGAAACGCGTGACGTGCAGTGACGACGGAGCTGAAAAATACTCACTACGCGGCCGTTCAAAATGATTCAGAGACAATACTCTCAGCTGGCCGGCCGCACCATGGCGCAGCGGCAGCCGCCCGCCCCCAGCTTCCCCCTCCACCTGGCTAGAGCGCTCCTCCACTCCCGGCCGGCCCATCGACCGCTCCTCGCTGCTCGCTCGGCTCCGCTCGGCCCGACTCGGCTCGCCTCCACTCCGAGCTCGGAGCGCACCCGACCGCCGACCTCGGCTGAGCTCCACTCGGCTCGACTCGGCACGGCGCGGCGCGCCCGGCCAGCCACCCAGTCCCTGCGCGCGGCCGGGGTAGACCCCTTTCGACCGCCATCTTGGTCTGATGCTTGCCGCCCGCCAAGTCGGGCTGCGCCGAGCCATGGGCGTCATAACCTCCCACACTTTGGGAGGTATTTTGCAGGATTTCCCGGTGCGCAGGTCGAAAAGGGCACACTGGACGTAAGGACGAGGTGCAGGATGACTGCAGGGACGGCCAGAGCTGTGCGCAGAGCGCGGCCGGACGCAGGAGGCTAAAGACTGAGGTTTGTTTTTTTCTGGGCGAGCCTGGCCTCGAGGACGCGGCGGACGCCATGTTTGGTTAGTTCGCTCCGGCTGCGTCGGCCGAGAGTTTTTTGTAATTTCGTCGCGAAAGTGTTATTTTGTATGTGATGCACGCAATACACCGCCATGAACGGCGGTCGCGATTTCAGTGCTCATCGGAAAACAATATGACCGCCGGGCACATCACACTCTGCTGGCGGAGGTCCTGAATTTCAACTAAATTACATAAATAAGCTGAGACAAAGTCGTGGGCAGTGACAGAAAACCGCATCACACAATCCGTATTGACGAGCCGGGCCGATTCTTAATTACGGCATGTCAAGAAACGCGTCATTGTGATAATAATTATCGCATATCAATCTGGTTTTCTTACAAATTCATTCAATTTTGAGTTGGTTCGAGCGAGAGGGCAGGAGAGGAGGTGGGGGCAGGGAATATCAGGCGGGTCAGGAGGGCCCTTGCACCACGGTGCGCCGGTCATAATCAGAGCTCTAATTGGAAAACTAACATCATTACCTGGTAACGCTGCTAATTTCTAAGTAATGGCGCCACTAAAATCACATTTGCCGCGCTGCATCGCAACGCGCATGCGCTTCGATAACTCGCGCTAATGGCGTCCTCGCTCACGCCAAAGCAAAAACCGACCGATTTTCCGTCTCTGTCCCACTTGCAAGCGATGCCGGGAGTGTGTGCATGTGAGACAAAGAGCGAGAGAGAGAGCAAAGGCGAACCTGAGCGGCAGCCAGAATCCCGCCAAACGATGCTGCAAAAAAAGATAGCTCTACCCCGGTAAAAATACAACAAAAATACCACAGACTCCGCGAGATGCGCGTTTTATTTTTGTCTGTGTAGTGACAGGGGCCGATCTCCACCACTCACGGCGGCAGCCGGAAACGTAATTAGGTGTGAAATTGCGGACGCGGGGTAACGAAAAACGAGCCGCTCGCCGCGCCGCAAGCCGTTTGAACGTTCCCGCGCACCGACGCTGCGCCATACATTTTGCCCGGCGTAAGCGGCCGAGTTTTTCATCCTTCTCATCCCATCAGGGGCAGCAGTACCGTTTAGTGCGCCGTACGATTAACCGGGCGGATCGGCAGCGGCCGCCGGGGCCTGCTGGGCTCGCCTGCCCCGCCGAATAGCAATCTTCCCTCCTTTGCCAGCGCTCGAGCCCCCCCCCC